TATATATATATATATATATATATATATATCTGTGTTTGTGTTTGCATGTGTGCCCGCAAATTATTTATTTCATTTATTGTTTATTTCTCCGTACTTTCACTAGCTAGCAATATCATCTGCAGATTCTTAGACGACAACTGCCTGGCTCACACTATTAGTGCCTCACGGCTCATGCCTCAGGGTAATAAGATACAAAGGAGCATTTTTTGACGTTTATCACACTCCTAGATCTATCTTTCTATTCGTATAATCCCTTATGATTTGTTCACATTCGTTCATGCTCAGTTCAGTAGCGTTGCTGCCATCATTCATTTCTTTCTTGCCTTCCATTCATTCACAGTTTTTCCCTTTACTCACTCACGCTTCTTGATAACCTGCTTATAGTCTACAATTCCTGAAAACCCTCTCTCTTTGTGAACCAACAAACTCTTCTGAACATCCGTTCATCCACCAAAAATAATAGATTGTCATTAGAATGTAATTATCAAACAACACTTCTGAACGAATTTGGCTGATTTCTTATCAATCGCACGTGCTTGCATGTATCGTATTCAATCACACTAAACGACCAATGTAATAGTTAGATAGATAAATTGATGGGCAGACAGAGATGGTCAGACAGAAGACGGTATTTAGATACGTTCTAGATTGATAGAGAGTTGAATAGCAGATACGGTATGAAATAGAATCATTTAAAAGCAATTGATTGGTTCAGTTCTTTTTCACTGCACAAAAGCTTACGTACATCATAGTCTTGCTAAGCAAAGATACGGTAAATGAGCAATTACTTGCTGTTCACTGGGACAAAGAATGGAAAGACGCACTGAAATCTACAGAAATAAGTTGGATAGTGAAACACATACAGGTAATGTTTATCAATAGTTAGTAAATATCACTGCACTTCTAGCATATCAGCAATTCACATAGTTATGACGGAGGAGTTAGCGATTCTGAGAAATGCTAATGAATAAGTGATTAAGGAATAATCAATTACACCACATTGAATCAGGATGGAATCAAAAACTAAGAAATGAGCAAGCAATGTGATAGAACTATTAAAAACTTGTAGGTGGTCATCGTATGCACGCACCTAAACGACAAACCCAAACAAGCAGTGAATTCGGCTTTGGTGGTGGATGTGCGGACGGGTTGATAGCGTTAACAAGTCGACCAATCACACTTGTCATGATCAGAATACTTAAACAAAAAGTTTGAAGAATTATGTGAGTGGTTATTATGATATTATGCAACACGGATGGATGAGGTTGTTGCTGCTGCTAAACTACTGCAATTTTCGATACAGATGCGAAATGAATCTGCTTTCGGTGATGACCAATAAGTTCTGGTTAATTATTAGCATTCTCTGAAGCTCCTCAAATTGGCAATTAAATGTCTGTGTTAACGCCTCTTCTTATCGCTGATCATTCAATAATTTATGGAAGAAAAGTTTCGCTTTGAAACCGAATGCTTCAGTCAGTGTTGCTAGCAGTCAGTTGTTTGTGGCAGCAGTTAGTAACAAGCAATCTCGTTTGTGATTATTAAATTTGGAAACAGCAGTAGTACGTATGTGAACAGATACGGTGATCATAATAACTAGCTAGCTGCTGTATGAATGGCTCTGAAGGTGATGGACTGTGAAAAGAAGCAATCGAATGGCAGCCAACAGTTCAAAATCACTGAAGAACAAACGTTTCACTGAGCAAATTCAATGAATACGAAAAGAATTAATAAAAACAGTAATAAATACCGACTGTAGTTGAATAAATGCGCATACACATACGGATATATTCATTTATCGATATCGGTAGTTGTTTTATTCATATAATAAGAACATGCTTCGCTTCACCGAGTTAACTTAAAGACAGCAACAATAAAATTTTTTTCCATTTCCAAAAAAAGTTACAAAATTAAGATGAATCAACAAAGAATACGTTCTGATTAGATTTTAAAAAAGCATGCGAACGGTCCAGTCCTTTTTCGCTTCCTGAATCAGAATTATAACAATGATGACTCAATAGAAATAACGATGATATTGATAATAATAATGATTATAATAGGGATAATGATAAAAATAATAATAAGTAATACTAATAATAATATTCATGATCATAATAACATAACAATATTATTAATTTTAATGTAATAAGATTATCATTATTAATAAGAATAATATTACAACGTTAGCAATAATAATAACAACGATAATAATTATGAATACAGTTCAAGAACAACCTATCTCAAGGACATTCATAGGTAGAAGTATGTGTTCGCTATCTTCACAATCGTCCGTTTCTTGTAATATTTTTGCTGCTTACTTGATGAGTTTTCGACACGATAATTCGAAGAGATAAAAGCAAATAAATAAATTTTACATTTTCCTTTTCGAACAAATAATCGCACCAAAAAGTTGGTCACAGGTTAAAGGAGAACCTAAGAACAATCAATTCAGTGATCCAACAACTCCAATAATCCGAATAATCAGTCAGCATAACATGCCAACGGCCAAATAAACCACACATTCGTATTCGTTGCATATATAATACAAACACATAGTTTCATTCATTCATGCATTATTCACCTTACCCTTGGGAATGAATGCAACCAAACTGGAACCAAGAAAGAACTATTGCCTGTGCTCGACGGACCGAGCGGCTAGCTGCTTGACTCGCTTGCCGCTGCTTGGCTAGGCTGCACTTTACATTTTGTTTTGCTCTTTGCAACCTAATAGCAATATTAGTTGTTGCTGCTGTCGGCTAACACTTACAGCAACAAAGTAAAAGTAGTCGGTCAGAGAATGAACACAAGCCACGAGCCAAGCACATAAGCAAAAAATAGCAGCATGATAGGATATGATGATAAAATGCAATGAATAAAAGTATTCGCAAGCTTGAGACTTAGCTAGCTAAATTAGGATAGGAGCAATGATAGAACATTGATGACTGGAACACGCCACGTTGGTAACAACAACAACAATAACAACATGACTATCCACCACTGGCATCACCAATTTTATAAAAAAGGGCAAGCAACCAACTAAGTCAAGCCTAAACTAAGCAGAACCAGGCCGGGCTAGCATCAGACCAAATTTGGCCTGATGCTGGTCTATCATTTCTTCTTCTGCTACCAGCAACCAACCGATAATCACTACTCAGATAACAGCTCTTCATCCCATTTACTATTTTATTTCATTACTCACATTCCATCCGTTCCATTTCTCAACTACACACGTTTATACCTAACCATCACTTTCATTGTTAGCATCCGTTTCCAACGGATGTAGATAAACGATAGGTGAAAACTGCTGCTTGTTCAGATAAGCTGACATTATTCCACAAAATGATGATATACAGTTGGATATCAAGCAGCATCGTAACAATCAAAAACATCATAACAAACGCACCCAACAATATCACTAGCTACAACTACTGCTAATACGACAAATATATTCTGCATAATCAGTCAAATAATCAGTTCACTTAATAAAATCTCCAACTTCATTAATGCATTATAGACATCATCATTGCATTTTATCATCATTTTATAGACTCAGGGATCATCTCAAGAACAAAAAACTTCTGAGTTACATTAAACTTCTGAAAAAGGACTCGCCAAAAACTTTGCAAGCATGTTTTTGCCCACATATCTGCATCTTTTCTGAATACATAACAGCAGCAACAATTCAAAACAAGTGGA